ACGGAGCGTTTATTATTGTTGAGCATGCCATGTGAATTTCACACAATGAGCAATGTGGTCCGATGGATATATCAAGGAAGGCAAAAATGAAAATTCTTGCGCTTGTTCGAATGAAATTTCTTCTAATGCATCGACAATTTCAAGCTGTTGTGAAGGAGGCTTTTGATTCAATTCCTTAGTGTCTGTATTAATATTTTCATGACATGGACGTGTCTTGTTGGTTTCATCATGATCGCTCTTCAAATCAAAATCAAACGTGAACACATAATCCAAAGTTCCATGAAATGTACTGGTGTAATTTGTAAATTCTGGTTCCTTTTCATAAATTTCAAAATATGCACTTTTGGCTGGTGGGAAAGGGTTGATCAGATATTGCTTGGACGAGTGAAAATGATGTGAACTTGACGTAGATTTCACATATTCAACTCCATTTCGAAATAGCTCACAATGTTTGTTAAATTTGATTTCCTTTCCTGGTACAAGAGCTCTTCCCTTAGTAATCAAATCATAGACCTCACTATCCGGAAGAGAATTATAATCTCCACATAATATCACAGAAACGATAACCTCTGTGTGTTCAGAGTCTCGATCACATTGTTTAGCAAACTTGTTCAAAAATTGATGAACTGCTTTCAAAATATAAAACATTTGACACAATTTCACTTCTGGATATTTTGGATCCCATGCCAAATGATTATTCACAATCAATAATAATTTTCCTCGTTCTCCACCACTCTGTAAATCTCTCAATAAAGTCAAATTAGCAACATCTCTTCTCTCAAATGGTTCTTCAGCAATTGAGGTATTCGTGGCATGATGAGAATGCTCCAAATAATCATTCAATTCTTCCAAATGCAATTCCAAATGTTGGACCATCTCAAATCGATCTCTTCTCCAAAATGTTCCACAGCCATTTCTCTTTCCTGTTTTTTCTGCATAACTTGAATCAAAACCTCCTGCAAAGCCTTTCATCATGGTCGATTTCCAATATTGTTCATACAGATCCATCTCTTGAAGACAAATAATATCAGTCTTATAATTCATCAATTCTTTAAAGAGCCTCTGTTTACGAAGCTCCCAATCACAAATATTAGGATCCGAGACTTGTAAATGTTTTGCATAGAGTTGAGCAAGAATATTGTAGGAAACTAATTTGAAAGAGGAAGAATCTGAGCATACCGAATGATCATCATCATGGATTTGTTGTTGATCATCAAGATGTTTCCATTTCCGACCCATCAACAATGGTTGTGTTGTTGTTGTTGTTGTTGCTGGTGATGATGACGATAACAATAATTCGCTCATTTTGTTTCTTTTTTTTTGATGGTTGGCAGTGTTCAAGGCACACTCTGAACTTTCAAGATTGAACTGCAGTTTCATCTCCGAATCGTATCCATTAAAACAAAGGGCTTGACACATCGACTCCTGCCTTCTTGTCAAAGTATCTGTAAAGGAAAATAGTATTACACGGTTTCACATGGTTGCTTCAAAGTGATGAAGAGAATCAACAGGCAGATGTGTCTTTGAAATTTTCATTTGTTTGTAGTGGTGGAGAACAAATGACCTGTAGTTTGATATCCTTATTGGGATCCACAATCGAAATTCTTTCTTTCCATCACAAGAAAGCGCCACTATCTCCATAAAATAGCCTTTCATGACTTATTTCAAGCAATGCATGAGCAAAATATTGACTTGCCAATTTGATCCTCAAGGGAGATGAATAATTGTCTTTGTAACAATCAAAGTCATGTAATATTTGAAATGATGGATGAAAGACTGTATATTTATGATGTAACCGTTTAAAGTGCCTCGATCACTTGATCTGATTGCCGTTGGAGCAGGTATAATGTTTCATTGCGTTTTACTTAGCCTGACACAAGATCCAAGCCAAGTGATTGTTTATCTTTACAATCTCAGACGAAATTTCTTACATCATACTGCCGAGAGTTGTTTCTAGTTATTTTGGAGAATAACAAATTTTATATTAGGCAAACATGGTCGTTTGATGCTTATGGATTTTATGGACATCCATCACAATGTACGAGTTATATAGAGACTCCTTTGGAAAAGCTTTCTCCCGTAGCCCAAGTTTCAACTGGTTATGCTCATGTGGCAGTTTTACTTCAAAACGGAATGGTACCCATTTGCAAGAGGACTCAATAACTACGGTCAAATTCCAACTAACTCTAGCACCGATCAAGACCAGTTTGTCGCAATTGATATTTCTTCACCAATTCGATCTCTGTATTGTGGATCTCTTTGCAAGTGTCTAATTAGTGTAAAAGGTGAAATGGTTTTCTTTGGTGAAAATGTATCGCCATTCAAAAAACAGACCAATACTGACACCAAGTTTAAAAAGTACAATAGGATTTATGTTATTCAAAAGGAATATGACGATCAAGATGTGAAGTATGTACGAAGTGTCACAATTCACAATAACAATGACTTATTGGTGTGATATTTCACAGCTTAAGGCCCTAAGCTGCATTCATTTACAGAAAACCGATCAATATTCGTAAGGCGGATTTACCATTCTTGAAATTGAGAGAGACAGCAACAAGAGGGGCATTGTGTGACATCACTATATTTACGTAGAACTTTAATGAATACATCATGTCCATTATTAACTGCTCTTTCACAATATTCCCAAAATCTTGACTGTGTGAAAAGTTCAATTTCTTGGAATGTAACATCCAAAATAACATGATTCCATTCGTAATTGGTATAGCTCGTGACAATAATTTAGAGCAAAACCATTTTGTTTCACTGCCTTCGCCACAATCTCGGTATTTTCTTGTATTTCTGGAGTAGCATAAGACAAGGCGAAGCTGTTTTGTTCAATGCACTCCAAAATAAATTCTGGATCATCGTTAACATCGAACGGTGCATATTCCAAAGCAATTGGATGTATTTTAACAGCCTCCAACAGAAATTCTCTATCTTCAAGCAATTCTTTGTAATCGTCTAGTACCCTATAGTCGTGTTTAAACGCCTCCAAAATCAATTTTTTATCTTTTCTCAAACCGTCCCAAAGAAGATGCAATACTCTTTCCTGTTTCAGAGCTTCTATGGCAAGCTCTCTATAAAACTCTACCTCGGGTGGTACAAACCGAATGGCAAAAGGAGTTTTCCTCACTGCCTCCAATAAAAGTGCTTTGTCAACTTTCATCTCATCAGGAACAAACTTCAATGCTCTGGCATCTTGACGATTTCTATAATTTCTTTATCTTTCTTCAACTCGTCTGAAACCCAACGAATCGCACACCCACAACGTTTCTACAACGAATTCCTTGTCATTTCTTAATTCAATATATGCAAATTCCAGTGCCTCACCGTTTTGCTTAATTGCTTCCAAGACTATCTCTCTGTCCTTCTTTAATTCTTCGCTAGCGTCATGTAATACACAACCTTGCTTTTTAACCAAAGACATCACAAATTCACGATTTTCCTTTCCATTCATTAGGTAAAAAGCGTAAAACAGATCCACAATAAGTTGCTGCTTTTAACAGAAATTCTGTGTCTTTCATGACTGTTCCAGCGAATTTAACTTTCTTTTATAACGTTCTCAATGATAAATGGACAAGTAGTCATTCCTTCCATCACTATTTCTTTGTCGTTATAAAAGTAATAGTATCCTTTATGTCCTGCAATCAATAAAGCATTACCATTTCGTTTAGCAACTTCTAACAGAAAGTTTCTGTCATGTTTAAACTTGTTACCATAAAAAACCAAAGCACAACTATCTTGTTTGATTGCTTCTAATACGAGCTCTCTATCGTTCTTCAAATCTTCATAGGCATAACGAAGAGCTACCCCATTTTGTTTGATTGCTTCTAATACGAGCTCTCTATCGTTCTTTAAATTTGCAGAGGCATAAAAAAGAGCGCAGCCGTCCAACTTCAGTGCTTCCATGACTAGCCCTCTATCGGTTGCCAGCTCAGAAGACACGTGGTTTAGAGCCTGTCCATGTTGCTTCACAAGTGGCATTATAAAATCTCTGTCTGATTTCAGCTCATGTGACGCAAATTGCAAGGCTTCAATATTATATTTAATGGCCT